CCTGCACATAATTTATAATTTATTACTTATATACTACTGGCACTATCACCAATCTCTGCACCTTCGCACAGCACGTGCCCATAACCCTGTGAATCTGTTAATGTATATATTTATATTCTTTATTTTATTTTATTTTATTTTATTTTATTTTATTTTATTTTATYTTATTCTATTTTATTTTATTTTATTCAATTTCTTACATATTGTTGTTTTTTATATTGTTGTTTTATGTACATAAGTAGTGCACCAATGACACCAAGGCAATTTCCTGTATGTGCAAACATACTTGGCAAATAAAAGAATTCTGATTCTGATTCTGATTACACCTGTAGAAAAAGACACCAGGTCATCAATGTAGACTCAATACTCAGAATAATAACAATAATAATAATACTAATGATAATTAAAGACACAAACATATAAATCAGATGTAGCCTATAAAAACAGTTAAACTGATTCATTAACACAAATATACCCACCATGTGAATTCTCTGTGGTTGTGTTGTGAGTATAAAGCTGCAATGTTAAATTTGACTGAGTGATCCTATTGGGTGTAACATGTGAACACGTGATGCTCAGAGACTCTTCTCTTGTCCTCGGAGGTTTCAGTCTCTTCCTCTTCTCTCTGTCTGTCCATTGATTCCCACTGAACTCTGCGTGCGTCCCCGCCGCGCGCCCCCGCTGCCTCGTGGACAGACTGTGTGGCACCAGCAGGACGCGACAGCGCCGAGCAGCAGCAGGAGCAGCAGGAGCAGGAGCAGCAGGAGACCGAGGGGCCTCCACCTCCGCTCCTCCAGGTGGACGCACAGCCGGGCAGCGTCTCCGGTGTCCGCAGCAGCGTGTTCCCGCAGAGGGTCCCGCACCGTCCGCAGTCTGGACACGAGGAGCGACACGCAAGGTAGAGAGCAGCCGCATGCATGAAGTTCAGTCAGTGTCGTGTCTGATCGATTACCTATATGATCGATCATGTATTTCATAGGTGATGTTAATATGGTGAACCACAGACTGATGTCACACTTGCTACTATGAGATGAGTGAGTTTGAAGTTGGTACAGTGGAGTGACTGATGAGGATGATGAGGATGATGAGGATGATGATGATGATGATGATGATGGTGGCTTTCTGCCCTCTGGTGATTTTTTTCAAACAGAATATTTGATGAACAGGTCACAGTTTAATGTCTCCTCCTGGTACCTGTGGTGAGGCTCAGATGTCTTCATGTATCGTCATGTATCTTAATGTATCTGCAGTGTGTTACTGCTGCAGATCCTCCTCTGTCACAGTTCTGTTGACTTCAGCATTATGCAATCAATCAATATTCATTTCCAATTTGATCACATAATATGCTGCTGCACATGTTATATAATCACATTAAAACTGATACACGTTTTTGAAATTCTTTATCATCAGACAGCAATATATATTTCAGGACATGTAAGAGCATTATAAGGCTTTTTCTTCTGCCGTCCAAAGATTAATAACAAAATATAGGAACTTTGTAGATTTCTGGAGAGGAGAGAAATGATGATAAAGAGGAGGGGAGACTAGAGAGAAGGCAACGAAATAAACATAGGCTCTTGTTGGGAGAGAAAATGAAATCATTCCACAATCTGTCCTTAGAGGCTTCATGTTTGACCCACCTGGACCAGAATTAACACAGTTTTGGTCTGCACACTAAAAACATCTTATTTCCAATGAACATCAGCACCCAGATGATTGTGTTTCTGTCTAATAAAGTTCACATCAATAGAGGATTGATGAATCCATGTAGATCTCTTTCAATCAGGAGCTAAGGAGAAGGTGATAGACGAGACCTCCCAACTATGTGCTCTGCAGACAGTCAGTTGCATAAATGTAAAAGTGATGATGTGATGACACACACACACACTCACACTCACACATGCCAGATATATCCACACCAGAGACACTAGAGTGTGGATCAGAATAAGCATGATTGAGGATTTGACTCCCCCTGAAAGAACTTATATTTGATCTTGATCTGTGCAGCTCACGTTGTTCCTCATGGAGTCTTGTTCGTGAGATATTTGTCTCTATAAAGCAAATCTGCAAGCTTTAATGGTTTTTAAAGGAAGTCAACGTTTCATGTCCCATCATTATACAATGTCCTGTGTGTGTGTGTGTGTGTGTGTGGTCCAGGTATTACTCATTTTTTGGGGACTTAAATCACATAATGTGGTAAAGGTTATATCAAGTCTACAGAAAATGAATGTATAGTCCTCAGAAGTCATGGAGACACGTGTTTGTTTTAAACTTGAAATATTAAGCAGATTATCTTCATCTTTGACTGAAGAACTGTTTCTTTCAGCTTCACTGTCGTAAAAATTAGATTTGAACCTTTTAAAGAAATATTAAATCATATTTATTTAGCTTTTTGGCTGTTGCTTTTTTATGCAACTTTAATGCAGAACTTTGTGATATGGAAACTTGTGGTGAACTTTTGTCATTATTTTCTATTATAGGCAATGCAGTAAGCAAAAAAAGTAATGTATAGATAAAAGTATAAGAAATAAGCGCTGTGGCCTTTAGCTGTTATTCCTAATGTAGGGTGGAGTGCTGTGTGACCTGAACTGTGAGACTTCACTCCAGTAACCAGCTGTTACTGTCTGTCTGTGTGAGTGGCTGCGTCTTCTCTGCTCTGAGGCTTCTTCTCTGCTGTGTGGGTGAGGTTATAAATAAAAGGCTGAAGCGTTTCTTTTTTTTCCGTGTGTGTTGTTTAACCAGCTGCTGGGGACGTTTGTTTTTTCTCCTCTAGAGTGCAGGTGTACTCGCTGGCCTCTAGATGCTGTTCTCAGGCCTCAGCAGCTCTTCTACCACCCGGCTTTTACCTCAGACGTTCCAGGCTGTTGTTTGTGTTGGGTCAGCATCACCTGTCCACCTCAGATTTCTGAAATATTTCGCTGTTCATCAAGTGTTTGTCATTCTATGCTCATAAAGAAGTCGGAGCAAAAATCTGTCTTTAACAGCAATATTACATTTATCGTCATAATTATCGGTATTCACTGATATGAAATGATATATTTTGATATAATTTTGGGCCATATCGCACAGCCCTATATGCATAAAGATGCATAAAGTAGTAGTAGTAGCAGTAGTATAAGTATAAATAGGAAGCTTTATATACAGGTACTGGAAACATGACTCTTGTGTTTTTGAATTTGGTAGGGTTTTAATTTGTCCTATTTCCTGAGATGCCAAGAGTCATTAACACTTTGAGTTAAGGAGGATTTCCTTTTTATCAACGCATGATCCAGAGTGAAAATACTAGAAGAGTAGAAGAGGAGAGAAAGAGAAAAAAACTGAAAGAACCAGAATTTTGGTTCTCTGGCATGTGTGTGTGTGTGTGTTCTTGTCTAGACAGATAGAAGCATGGGAAAGTGGCCCTAGCGTTGCAGGGCAGACCACCAGCAGTGACAGTCATACAGAGATCCCAGGTCACCATACTCACGTTCAGCATTTACACTGTGTTTTCAATGAAGGTGACAATGCTCATTTGAACTCCTTTCTCTTATGTCAAATTGCAGCCTCAGACATGATATATTTTTTTTAATAACTCTTAAATAACTTTTTTTTTAATTTGCAAGAAAGAACAAAATAGGATGAACTGGATTCACAACTAGAATGTCACTCGCTAAAGCACATATGCCTCCTCCACGGTCCAACGGTCCCCTTTATTTCAGTCTCATAGATGTCAGTCCTTGGTCCCACCAAATCTGTCAGCATGTTTATTGAATTATAGTTTGATATTTGGGGAAATTGATGTATTTGTGCACAAAGACTGGAAGCAAAGTAATAATGAAATGTCCAAAAGTAATAAAATCCACCATGACAGACTAATCTATCTGTTCTCTGAATGTTCAACTGTTAATTTACATCAGCGATTAAATTAAGAAACAACGTGGAAAATGCATCAAAGGAAAACATGCCTCTGCTGCAATTTGTTACTGATGTGATCTCCAGCTTTTTTTTTTTACTCCACTCCTGCTGTGACTTGACATTGTAGACACGTGGGCGTCACACATTAGTACCAGCCCAAGGAACAAGTACTGTATGAGTCAAACATAAAGGTCTGTCTAAGACCTCGCCAGCGGGCCAGAACTGGGTCAAGGCCGTGGATGAATGTCTCTCTAGTGCTGTTCCAAACCTGCCTATTTAGATTGTGCTATTAACTTGGCCTGTGGTGATGCTGGTTTCAGTTCAGTGAAGCTCGACTCAGATCGCAGAACCCTGAACTGAAGAGACAGTTGTTGTTGCCATTGTCGTAAACACATTTGTTTTTGTGATCAACAATGTTGCCTGATATATTATCACATGTCCAAATCGCACCAAATTCGATACTGCACATCCGTGGGAGGTTACACATACAGATCCCACAATACAGATACCATGTGTGAAGCAGATAATATAGATAGTTCTTGAGATATGTGAGCCACAAACAAACACACAGAGATTTCTGGAATTATCAGACAGATAACAGCAGCTGGGTAGTAATGTACTGCTGCAAGATGTAGGTATATTATCAGGGGTGTGATTTAAAAATGTATAGCTAGAAACTTTAAATCCAGTGTTTTGCCAAATGTATAAACTGTAGCAGTTTTTTTTTCTCAGTGTAGGCCATGCCCTCATCGTTATTTTGTTATATGATCGTTCATGCAGCTACTGTAGGTATCATATTTCAGTGACACACACACACACACAYACWCMCACACACACACACACACACACACACACACACACACACACACACACACACACACACACACTTCTGCGTGAACAATATGTTTAAAAAAATCCAGTCACCAGTCACAGTTCACTCTGAGTGACCCCAAACAGCTCATGGTGATTAATGGCCACCAGAGTCCGCTTCAGAAGAGGCTGTGGGGGGGGGGTTGTTGTCTCAGAGTCAGTTGGACGGCCAAAATAGACGTGTCTCGTTCGTGCCTCGCTCAACCTGGCGCTGTCGCTGTTTAATCACGCAGCCTGGATCATCTCCTGGTTCAGCCCGTTTTTAAAAAGTGGGTTTGGTGGTGGTGTGGTATAATATTAGTACCCAGTGGAATACTGAGCACATTTGTTTGTCATGTTGGTGTCACTGTAGTGATGGTCAACATGCATGTCAAGCCTGTCTACACCTTTGTAAAGGGGGTCAGTGCATGTATACGTTCTCCACTGTGGGTTGGATTAATTTAACTTGCATGAAGCTGGAAAACACACTTTGGTGGAGGTGAGGTGGGTCGAACAGCCTGTGATTGAATGCTGTGGTGCTCACACTTGTGTTACTCCCTCAAAGCTTTGATATAATCAATAAAATCATTTTGAAATTGTCATAGTGACATAATAGAAGAGTGACCTGCACTTTTGAGATTTCAGCTGGTACTGACCTCCGCTCAGGGTCAGCATCTAGTGGATACTACAGGTACTGCATCTTAAGGCACTCACATTGGATTTAAGGTTCCGCTGTGCTGGAGACAACCACAGGGTGAAAACCAGTGTGGACGCAGCTAAGTGCTGGTTTGCAGAAAAACCATTGGGATTTTTTCCCGGGTTGTTTTCCTTGTCCACTCACCACAGATTACCGTTCACAGGCCATAGTCAGGAATGAAAAGTGTGTGGTTTGTATATTTCAGAAAGGGTCGAAAGTTTGATTCCCGTCTCTTCTCAGTCTCCTTGCCTGTCCTTAGGCAAGACACTGAACCCCATGCTTACCCATGCTGGCAGTGTATGAATGTGTGATGTGGTGTATGAGTGTGTATGTTTACAGGTCAATGTAACTTGCACAGTAAAGCGATACGATCAGGTCTATGAAACCAGAAAAGCATTGTTAACGAAGGACTCCATAAGAAAAGTTAAAGAAACGCTGAAGCGGAGAGTTCCCCATAA